CCTAATCTAATTCGAAATTAAACCGAAGACCGTTACAGGTATACTGGAACCTCCTAACCGTACATCCTCTGCGGCTGGTAAGATAAAACGACGCTTGTTAATAAAGGTAATTAAGAGGATAATTTGTGTCGTATTAGATGAGGATTAAACGTGAAGATAGTTGTTAGTCATGCTGTTTTAGCCACTTCGATCAATTAATAAAAGTTTACGAGAAAGGGAGCAAATGCTGCCGCTTCTCATAAGAAAACGTGTATTCTCATATCCTTCTCAGCCCTCAATATTACATCATCAATCATCAATGTGAGACTAGCCAAATCCAATAATTAACAAATTGATCATTCCTCATTCCAATTAGCCCTCTCCTCAAGCTTCAAACATTTCCATGCCCCTCCTCAAAACCCCAACACCATACATATATTGTCCACACGATATTCTTGATGTCTCTTTTCACTGTATCAAAATTCTAAATTAAGTTTTATTGTTGAGGGTTATTACTATAAAAATCTAGGCTTCAAAGCATTAATTGTTTGATAGTATTTGAACCTAGATCAGTATAAATTAAGTTTTTAAAATATCTTTCCACTGACTCTGAAATTGTTGTGAGTTATTACGATCTTAGAAAATCTTAATTTGATTCAAAGATTGAAAGAATAGTCTATCATTGATTCATATGACCAGTGGTTAAATATATATTTTTATACATGATAGGAGACTTATAGAAAAAAAATATACACGTCTTGTTATATTTGACAGAACAATATATATATATATATATATATATAGAGCAAAACTTGTGTCCACTTAAGTGGACATCCACTAAACTTTTTAACCCTTAGATGTTTCCTAGGGATCCTTGCATGATATGAAGTGACTTTTTATATGTTAAATGAGTGGATATAAAGTTTGGTGGACACACTATTCTTGGAATTTGAAATCAGAATTATTCTATTAATACCATCTTAATATTTCCTCCACTACACCAAAAAATTGAAATTATGGCAAGAATTGATCTCATTCTCCATCGCATTCCCACATGCATTACCTTTTTCATGATTAATTCTGCATGTCCCCTTCTCTCCTCCTATATACACACAACCTCTCTCCTACGTTCCTCCTCATCATCATCATCATCACCATCAACCTAATTAAAAAAAAAAGAATACAATTAAAAAGAAAGATGATAGGATGGGGAGACATATACAAGGTGGTTCAAGCCATGGTGCCCCTCTACTTCGGCAGCCTCATCCCTCGGCTACGGCTCCGTCCGGTGGCTGGCGATCTTCACCCCGCTGGCGCAGCCGGACGCCATCAACCGCCTCGTCGCCTTCTTCGCCCTCCCCTTCTTCACCTTCCACTTCACCTTAACCATCAACCCCTTCACCATGAACTTTCGCTTCCTCGCCGCTGACTCCCTCTCGAAAATCCTCATAGTTGTCATTCTCTTTCTCTACGTCAGATTCTCCAGGCGCACTAACGATGGTGCCGCCGACAGCAATAAGGACAGGTATTGCTGGGCGATAACGGGGTATTCGCTTTTGACGATGACGAACTTGCTGGTGGTCGGGGGGCGGCCGTTGTTTGGAGGCGATGTATGGGAGGAAAGTGGGCGGAGGCTGTGTGGCAGACGTCGTGGTGCATGGGTGATTGTCTGAGCTGAACTGCTGCTGCTGTTTTGTTTTTGAGCGTTCAGGAAGGGCGGCGCGCCGAGGGGGAGGAGGATGGCGGGCGGGAGTGGCGAGAATGGAGGGGTGTGGGTGGTGTGTGAGGCGGCGACGGAGGAGGGGAAAGATGTTGAGGAGGAGGAGGAGCTGAGGCCTTCCAGGCCCACGTTTTGGATGTTGATGAAGATTGTTTGGATTAAGCTCGCCCTTAATCCTAACACTTACGCTAGTGTGCTTGGTGTTTCTTGGGCTTTCATTGCTAATCGGTAGGTATACATGCAAATTCTAATCAAATCTTGGGCTTTTTGTTTTTAGGTCCATTTGTTTACCTAGCTTTATTTTTAAACCCAAGAATTATTAGGTGTATCTTTAAACCTAACTTTCTTTTTGTATTTATCTTTAAACCCAATTCCAAAATATAATACTCTCATATGTGGGTCCCCCTATATAAAGAAATTGGGTTTAAAGATAAATTCAAAAAGAAAGTTGGGTTTAAAGAAACAACTAATAATACTTGGGTTTAAAGATAAAGTCAGGTAAACAAATGGACCTAAAAACAAAAAGCCCTCAAATCTTTCATAGACTTTTAAGGCATTACTTGAAAAGTTTTAGGGTAAACCACACGAAAAGTGCCATAAACTATGCTTAGGCTGAATTGCGGATAACCCCCTCATCTATATCTTCCGTACCAGAGAACACCACCTGAGTCTAGGGGTGCTAAACCGTATCCGTATCCGAGGAAATATCCGTATCTGTTAGGATACGGACATGGTTACTCAAATCTATAACAGATAGAATATGGTCATGGCTATGGTTTTGTAGTTAAATATCCGTTTTCAGAACCCAAATATCCGAATACACATTAACCATACTCTTACGATAGTTTCGATTCTTAAATTATGGATTTGTGGTTAATTTTGATAATCAAGATGTCTAATCTTGGCTTTTTTAGCTATAATGAACATATTAAGGATCTCTTTTGTATCACATGAACTATGTTTTTCTCAATACTATCTAGTTTTCTCATATTCGTTTTGTATCCGCAAGCATATCCGCTTATATCTACATCCATATCTGTATCCGTATCCGATTTTAGCAGATATGGATATGAATTTCCTTACCAAGATATATCCGTATCCGTATATGTATCCGAGATGGGTAAGCGGATATGGACATAGTAAGCATCATATCCAAGCCGTATTCGAACTGAATGCACCCCTACCTAAGTTTATGCCCTCAATAGCAGATAACTGTAACGCCCCGCCCCGAAATCCCGGAATCGGTACGCTATTAGATCTGATGGACTGGCCTCACAAATCACCACATGTCTTTTTAACTCGTTTTGTCCTCACTCATGCGCTCCTTGAAAAACTTCCCAGGGGATCACTCATCCTAGAATTTCTCCAGGCCAAGCACGCTTAACTTTGGAGCTTCTAAGAGTTGGGTTCCCGAAAAAAAGATGCATATTGGTGGTATGAGTATTCCAATCAAATCTATCAATACTAATCACATCACCCTCTCAAGGGTTGGGGTATTACAATAACCCCCCTCAACTTAGTGTTCCCTGGAATTTAGCTTTTTAAGAATAGTAATTCAGGGATGTTGAAGCCTTGATAAGGGGGTGTTTGTTTCATAATTTTAGGATATGAATTTCACAATGGGATTTGAAATCCATAGGTGTTTTGTTATGTGTTGAGATTTCTAAATATTGTTTGTTTCATTAATATTTTGGGATTTGAGATACTACAATTTGTAATATTTTGTTTGTTTCAAGCTCAAATTGTAGTATTACCAAATGCCAAAATTTTATAATATGATGAATATGTTATCTTGGTGAGGTTACCTTCTCACAAAAAGATAAAATTGGGATTTGTCAAATCCTCTCCAATTGAGAGTTAAGCACACCCATTGATGAGATTTGTCAAAATCTTCTCCAATTGAGAGGATTTGGTAAATTCTAAAAATTGGGCACTTTTTGCACTTTTGAGATTCAACATTCTAAAATTTTTCTTAAAACAAACATCATATATGGAATCCCAAAATATAAAAAAACTCACTTTTTAAGCCCAAAACTTGTAATCCATACCAAATGCTAAAATTTCTGGTGAAACAAACACCCCCTTAGGGGAGTTAAAAGTACAGATGAAGAGGGTCATTTGCAAATTACACCTATTTTTGTAATATGACCCTCATAACTTATCAACAGAAGACAGCGCATACACATCCTATCAAAATATTCTCTATTTTTCGAGCGTAAACGAACATTTTGAAATTCCTAAAACTGTCTCACGTAATCCATAAATGACACCAAAGGTTATTTGAATAAACTTTTAGATTTTACCTGATGGCACACATTAGAGAGTCGACATCAGTTGACAGTTTCACGACAAAAAAATTTGGTGAATAGGAAAAATGAATTAAATTTTGTTTTCAACTCAAGAAGTTTGATTATTTATTCGATGGCTTGAATTTTGACAGGTGGCACTTCCAGATGCCGGTTATCATGGATAATTCGGTCTTAATCATGGCAAAATCAGGAACCGGAATGGCTATGTTCAGCATGGGTAACATTACTAGCACCTTGTTACACGATTTCGATTATAAAAAAATTAGCAAAGCGATCACTGCATTTTTACCGCAAACTATTGTTTAGTTGACAATTATAGTTTACCTTGAAGCAAAAGTCAATGTAAATGCGTAGGATTGTAATAAATAGGGAAATTTTGCAAAATAGTCCATTTTTGCTAATTATTTAGCAAAATAGATCGTTTTGCTAAATAATTAGCAAAATAGACCTCTTTTGAAAAAAAAAGGTCGATTTTGAAAAACAAGACTAATCCGTGATTAGTAGTCGATTTTGAAAAAAAAAAGGCCAATTTAATCACGGATTAGTGACTCAGAAAACATACGGGATTAGTAGTCCCGTATGTTTTCTGAGTTCATCTCAATGTTTTGTAAAATTTTCTGAGTTCACTAATCCGTGATTAAAACATACGGGACTACTAGTCCCGTATGTTTTCTGAGCTGTTTTGCAAAATAGACCTCTTTTTGGCCTATTGGCCAAAAAAGGTCTATTTTGCTAATTATTTAGCAAAACGGTCTATTTTTCTAAATAATTAGCAAAAACGGACTATTTTGCAAAATTTCCCTAATAAATATCATCAATCTTTGTAATGTATGGCAGCCGTCCACTAAATAATATGCAGTTTTCCTATTGACTACCCTAATACAATCTTTTTGCTAAAGTTTTGGTCTAACATGTCAACATGTGACTTAGGGCTGTTTATGGCGCAACAAAAGAAGATAATCGCTTGTGGGCCTGGTTTGACGGCCATTGGCATGGCCCTGAGGTTCGTTGCTGGCCCTGCTGCGATGGCCGTTGGGTCTATCGCTGTGGGCCTCCATGGCGATGTTCTCCGAGTTGCAATCATACAGGTGAGACAATTGTATAATCCTTGATCTTTATCTTGACTGATGTGTTGTTGAGAAAACATATATCCAGATAACTATAAGTTGAATCGTTAAGATATCCACATCATAGTTGATAGAATGAACGTACATCACACCGGTGATATTGATATGTTGCATCCCGAACATTCACCTAAGATTAATGATATGAGATAGGAAGATTTAGATGTGCAACCCATGAGCCGACATGAAACTGGGGTGACACAAAAGCTTTGGTTTAACAAAATAATGATAACACTAACTAATCCTTGTCTTAACTGTTTTTTTTTTTTTCCTTCTTTTGTTTTTAATTGTGCAGGCTGCGGTACCTCAATCCATTACCTCGTTTATATTTGCCAAGGAGTATGGTTTGCATGCTGATGTGCTGAGCACTGCGTAAGTAAATAGATACAATCTTACAAGGTTTCAGTCATCAAATTACTTGGGTGCTCAACTCTAATGTATATATATTTTTTTTTCCCTCAATTTTTTGCAGGGTAATATTTGGGATGCTGGCCTCTTTACCGATACTCGTCGTATATTATATACTCTTAGAATTCATGCATTAATTGTAAAGGAAGGAAAACTAACCTCCTTGATCACTTCTCTCTTTTTTTTTGTATTTTTACTAATTCCACAAGGAATTTGTTGGCTGTCCTCCAATAGAAGAAGTATACTCTGATGAGTTTTTGGTTACCTTACTTGGCGTTAGAAAGAATGTGGCATCAAGGACACCGTCTTAATCTCTCATGAAGATTAAGATAGAGTGCAAAATTTTAAAACAGACCCCTTTGCAAAAATATTCTCAAAAAAAGATCTGTTTTGAAAATATTCGCAAAAAACGATCTAGTTTTAGTCTCAGGGCTGAAACTGGGTCGTTTTTTGCGAAAAATGTTCCCAAACTTCATGGGAGTTGAACTTTCGTGAAGTTTTTTTCAAAACAAAACTTCACAGGAGTTGAACCTCCCGTGAAGTTTGAAAACATTTTTCGCAAAAAAACGACCCACTGAGGCTGAAACTGAGTCGTTTTTTTAAAAATAAAGTAAAAACGGATATTTTTTTTTGGAATATTTTTGTAAAGTGGTCTGTTTTCAAAATTTGTCCGGAAATCTCTACAAGGAAGAATACGAACAAAACTAAGGGGAAGACAAGTAGGGAATTTTAGAGAATTTATCCTCCCACTAATGCAGTTGTTAACTCAAATAGTATCAAATGCGGCTGGTATTATTGGACCTCTGGCATAATCCTTTCGAACAGTAAATGGGTGTCAACATGAGATTCTTTTCCTTGAGTGATGAGTGACGCGCGATACACTTCACGGTGTCTCTGGATGAGGGGTAGCCAAGGAGAAGGGAAGGAAAGTTAACACTTTTAAATCTATTTGGGAGTCTTTTTTAGGGATGTTTTTTTTTTTTTTTGGAAAGGTAACAAAAGAGGGTAGGAGAAAGTTTATATTATATTTGCTCTCCCCTTCTCTACCTTTCCTTTCTCTATTTTACCTTTCCTTTCCTCCCCCTAGTATCCCCAGACACAATGTTAAATTAAATTCAAAACCATTCTATTTGAAAACAATATTTAGACTGTTATGCTCACATACCAGATGTACTTACATAGAAAGGTACAGGTACAAAGCTTAGGCAACAAATTGCAAATACCTACTATATGCATGCTGTAATCCATCAAATTTGCGTGGTTACTTTTATGAACTAAGTCCAATAATAACTTATAAAATTAAGTTCTGTCATGGCGGCCTTCAGCTAAAAATTAAACAATGGGACTAGTATACTTTGGACAAAATACATAATCCAGATAGCTCAGTTACAAAGCACAAATCTAACTTGTTTTTCCCAATTATGCAACTAAATTCAACATTCAAACCTAGGAAACATGACAGATTGTCCAGCAGAATATCATATTGAGTCACCCTTGAGTGAAGATTACTATGTACAATACCCAGTACATCATATTGCTAACTCGGTTCAAGGAGCACAATTGTGTATGTTGAACTTAACATGGAATTATGCAACTTATGACATAATCTATTTATCTGCAAGATTCATATGCCTTCAGTAAGTTGGAGATTTTCCGCATTCACCAATTGAAATAGGATCAGGTAGCTACCAAAGTATATCTATTTAACTTTACCAATAATTCGTGCAATGATCTTTCCGAGCTCTTCTCCTGAATCCTCTTGCACATGGTGACCTGCCTGCGATATTCCACAAGAACTTTAAGTTTACCATCAAACTGTATGTTTCATTCTCACGAAAAAGTTTTCAAACATTTAATGAATACTTATATAGAAATTTTTATTTGAACTGCATTCCATCTGCGTTACCTGTTACCTGCATGCAATGGTGGACCCAAAAAAAATTCTGAAAGGGGCCACTCCAGCAAGCATCAGACTTACGGACCCAGGCCGCGGGGACCACGTCTGGACGGGTATGTGTTGTGTGCTTGTAGGGGGCCCGGCGCAGCGGCGGCGGGCGGGCGCCGGATAGCCGGTGATTGTGGAGAGATTGCCTATTGGAAAAGTAGTAATAAGTATTGGCTTTAGGTTATTGGGATTGTTAATAGACCTCAATAGGACTAACTTTACATGGCGCCAGCCATTTGAGCATTCATTTTCTTGAAATAAGACGAACTTCTAACTTCAAATAGTGGCTAACGCAAATGTGTTTATTTGTATATGTAAGTTAAGAATTCCATTTAAAGCGACGGTGCCAATTTTTAAAGTTTTTCTTTCCTTCTTGGTTTCTTGGGCCGGAGGGCGGGCGGGGGCGCGGGCCGGCAGCTTTGACAGTCTTTTAAATATAAAATTTGAGAATGTTAGCGTACAACTGCCCGGCTGACTACACATATGGATCCACCCCTACCTGCATGAATTTAGCGAAGTTCTATGCATGTAGCATGTCCGTTACCATTTAGTTGTTTCTAATGATTGTTAACCATAAGTCCCATTTAAACCAGATTACGAGTATTTTAGGCTTTGAGCATCAATTTTAATTGTTAACTAATATATTGGCACCCAAAAATATTACCAGTAAATAGTTAACGATTAAAAGCCTCAAAGTTTACAGAGAAAATCTTATGCGATGAGCTGTTCAGAACAACTATTCAAAATTGCATATTATTGTTTCCTAATTGCTTATCAATGTTTGCTGATCTTCAACATATATTCAATTCTAGGGATCTAATGGTGCTATACAAGTGTTGAAACAAGAGAGAGACGACTGCTAGGTAAAGTTTGTCTATTGAATTTCCAGAAATGCTTCTTAGCTAAGCCTAAAATAACAATACTTAAAAATAATGAAATATTCATAAACGAATACTAGAGCAAAGCACTTGATAGAGCAATAACAATTATTATAACGATATGATACAATGAGGGAGGGCGAGGGAGCAAACCATTGGCAGTTCCACCAGTCTATGGTTTAAGGACTTGCAATAATCTTCAACACCGTCATAGCCCAACCATCGATCTCTTAGACCCCAACATATTGTTGTGTCTGTCTTCCAAGATTCGCTGGCTAATATTGTCCTCATTGATTCAACATAAACCTATTAGAGATGATTAAAGAAGAGGTTTAACCTGATTGTATATGCAAGTAAGAACCATGGCATAAAAAATTAGTTCAACCAAATAAACTTAAGAGAAAAAAATTGTGTGAAACAAGTGTATGTTAATAAAGTTTTTCTGCAGTCTGTAGAGAAACTTTTGATAAACAAAGTTCTCTCCAGATACTAGCCAGTCTTAATCAATCAGAAGTCTAAACCTAGTGGCCTAACAAATCCTCTGCAGATCGCTTTGCCTTGAACAAGGAAAACATTCAAAACCCCGGCTGTCTATCCCCAGGCAGAAATTCTATTAACTATGTGTGATTGATTGTTCTCTTAATATTTTGAGCGAAAAGGTGGAAAGTCCTGGAGCACAAGGTTTCAATATATCTTCTTCAAGTCTCACTTCAATATAATTTGTTTGGTGATGGGTCAGTAACATCCAAATAGAACCAATAAGGATGAGAGCTACTTAGATCATGCTGATGTCTTTACAAACTCAATTATGAACTGAATATAATTAAGAATAATAATGTAAAACAAAAGAGAAAAGTAGACTGCTTTCTTAGATATTTGATGCTAGAAACAAAACAGACAGTATGTCTCATACTATATCAAGCACAATGGATAGTGTAAGTCCAACAGTCAAAGACATCAACAACCTCATACTGAGTGCAGAATACAATTGCATGGCTGAAAGGAAAAAATAGAGCAAGGCAAATGCAGCTATGCCCTATTTAGACAGAGGAATAATAGGGTATAATGTCTTTTATTTGTGTGAGCCAAACACTCGAATCTCGACTTAGTATTAGTTTAGACCTCTTATTTGGTAATTGATTCAGTTACCAAATATGTACAACTTTATAAGCCAAACGAAACAATGTAATGGAAATGTGTTATTTTACAGATTGGTTATTTGAAAGAGAAAAATATCATAATGTCGACAGGTATAGGGATGATGATGATGCAAACGTAACTGCAGGGGAATGAAATTAAGCTATTCAGGTAACATCTAACAAAAGATAGAATTGCAGATTCTCATATGTATATAAGCCACTTTGCTGCGAATTGCACTTCTACCAGATCAGGACAATTGGAATCTTTATTTCCAGAAGATGAAATAACAAATACTTAAATGAACTCCTCAAGTGAGATAGGTAAGGCAACACTCCAAGCAACATTGATATAAACAATATTGCAATTGGAAAAAAAAAGTCAAAGATTAATCTGAACGATATTAATGCTGGAACTCCAAAGAAATTTGATATCACTGACCAGTATACAGTAAGTCATAACCAGTCCAAATGCAAAAATAAATAAAATAAAATAAATAAATAAATAAAAATAGAAAAAGGGACTTCACCGTTGAACTAAAAATGCCAGCATACATCAAGTGGTATTTATCCCTAGTACGAAAAAGGCTCACCGTTGAGCTAATACAATGCTTTGGACTCATGGCATAAAAAATGTCAGCAAAAGTGCGCTTTCAGAAATAATACTGATGTCAAAAGTTTAGAAGAATAAGATTCTTTGTAATGACTATGAACATGCTATTTTCAAACTCAGAAATTCCTCTGGACGTAGTGTTCAAAAGGATCTTCTGTAGTGTTGATTTACTGAATAAGAATTTAACGGATTAACTTTAATAGTATAAAGCTAAGACCTCTATGAGAAAAATACATGCTTTGCATGAGCAAATAGTACAGTGAGTTTAATTATCACACTAGTATATGTAGTTCCAAGGTCAGCATAGAAGCATTCATCATCCAATGATTAATAATATTTCAATAACACACATCACATAATAGGACTAAACATAAATTCAGGTAAATATAGGCTGAAAATCACACATTAGAAAAAAAAATACAAAGAAAAAAGAGCAAAGGAAGCAACTATTCATGCAAAAAGGGATTTCACCTTCAAGTCCTTACTCATGGTTCTACTTATCGCATTTAATGCAAAACCAGAAGATCCAGAAGTAAGATATGGTCTTCTATAAACCATTGCATCCTCCTCTTTCATTTTATATGGCCCACAACTAGTCAAAGCCTTATCACTAGCTCTGAGAGGATCCTGCAAGCAGAAACCACAAGTACTTTAAAAAAAGTCCTCCCCCTCTTCTTATAATTTGAAGTTTTGAACCTTAAGAAAGAATCACATGAGATGCAATTGACGATAGCATAGTCGTCTAACCTGGGAGAATATCTCACCCAACAAGAAGCTGCTGAATATGGACAAAGTTGATGGTAACTTGATGTGCTTTTCCATTATCTTTAATTTGAGAAGAAACATATAAAAGGATGTTTCAGTTTTCAGTACAAAATGAAAGAAACTTTCATTGAGTAGAAAAAACACAAATAAAACTAAGAAACATAGATGTACAGAAGCATGTTATCCCAAGATATACAATAGTTTCTGAAGAAAGATAAGATAGATGTTTGCAATTTTCTTACGGGGGGGTTGATGAGAATAAGATTTTTCAGTTTTTCTTGGTGACAGCTGGCATATTTGACAACTATTGGAGCAAAATAGCCCTGCAAAACATTTGATTTTAAACAAACCTTTTACTGCAAGGAAAATGCAACAAAATGTACAAACGCATGTTGAAAGTTGTAGCAAAAAACCTGGACAACAAGTGAAAATTTATCTTGACCAAGTGCATCAATAAGTGACTCCAAAGATGAAACAAATTCTGTAACATGTAAATGCCTCTATAAGTAGAAAGTATCAAGGTTTGGCAGAATACGCAAGAAGTATGTTTCTGAAACAGTTACCATCCAATGTATAGTCAAAGCCATACTTTGGCTGAGGCTTCTCTGAAAATCCAAAACCTGGAAGCAGGAAAGGTGTTGATTTGTCAACACAATAAATAAATTATAAATTATCTAAAAGAAAAAATACTTTATGATACCGCCCCATATTGACTGTAGAAGATAGCGAACTTTTTATGTCCGATATGCAGACTGAAAAGACTCAGTTTAAGCATTCAACAGGAAAATTTGTTCTTTCTCCTTATCGCCATGTTATTATAAAAATGACATTTTTTCTCTTTCCTTGCTACTAGATGCAGCCTTTTCACTAGCATCCTGACAGCTCTTCCATCTAAATAGAAGTACTGCCTCCTTCAAAATGCTCAAATATTGTACCCATTTTTTCAGACCTCTTCAAAACATTCACTCCTTATCTTGTCCTTAAACAGTTCAAACTTAGTCCATCTTTGCACCACATTTTCTCCTCATTTTCATTGATGTTTACAAAGTTTTTAATTGCCAAGGTTTACTCATTTATAACACCTAAGAAACAATGGTCAACTCCATTCACTAAGCTCTTATCCAATTATACTTTAGTAGACAATTTGAGTTATGAAATCTAGTTAGTTCCTGCTTGACCTCTCCCCACGTCTCCCCCAAACCACCCATCTACCTCACACCCACCCACGCACACATCCCAAAAGCTAGGTAGCACGGATACGGGTGTGGACGCAAACATGGACACAGGACATGACAAATTTGTATAACGTAGGATACGGGGACATGGCTATATATGTATGTGTGTGTATATACGTATACGTACATACATACATATGTATGTATGTCTATGTATACACACACGCAAATATATGTATACAAACACATAAATATATATAGAAAAATGATAAAATGAGATGGCGAGATGAGATTCTTCTCGTGAGCTAGCCTACTAGGCTACTCGATACGATGATCTGCACTATCCACCCTAATTTACAACCCACATGATCTATAAGTAGAAAAAAAACCATATCATTTAGAAAATTTTAATCATTATTTTATCTATGTACAAAAGGGACGACTATTAAGCAGTTTGAAAAATTAACATATTAAACTAGTTTAATTCCTATTCTAGAAGCTCACAATGTAATCATTACTATATATAATATATATATATATATATATATATATATATATATATATATATATGAGATTAATGGGTATCATTGTCATTGTCAAGGAGAGGATTTTACTCCTTGACTCCTATGTGGCACAATCCCCATCAAGACAAATTCTGATGCAGTGCGGAAGTAGTAGCCTCGGAATCCACCAAGGACAGTCTTCGAATCCACGAAGAGCTTCGAATTCACAAAGTAAATATTAAAGAAAACAAAATTTTATTAATTAAAAGTTATGCCTCTAGGGCTTACAAGACTCTACTTAAATAGAAAAAGAATCAAGACGTCTACAAGTACTCAAAACTCCTACAAGGACCCAAACTTTACCAAAAGTAGTAAAAAAGAATTTCTAAAATATTAAAACTCCTAAAAAGACTCCTTATAACTAGGAAAGTCCACAGGTCAAATCTGAGATCAAATCGGATTTGTTTCCTAATCAATACAGGCTCCTAAAATATTACTAAAAATAGTAAAAATCGAATAATAATACAGATATCTCTCAAACCGTAAGGAATTTGGCGAAACAAAGAAAACAAACCGAACCCTTGGGGTGGGTTTGGTTGGCTCCGTCTCGTCGAGATAGCGATTTTCATATATAATTCGTCCAATTCCGATGTACGGTTTGAAAGTTATGGATGTTTCTTCGTAGCAAGTTATTTTCTTCGACCGATTTGAAAGTTTGGGTTTGCGACTGTCCCACTTTGACATAAACATGTCTATCGTGTGTTCTACATCAGTCCCCCTGCTTGAAAAGAGCTCGACCCCGAGCTTACACTTGCATGAACAACTGTTGGTAATACTCAAACAAATCTGTAATATTAAAACTAGGAGAGATACCTAAATCTGTAGGAAGGTCAACCACATAAGCATTGTCGCTAATCTTTTTTAGTATTTTGCATGGACCATACTTCTTATTCTTCAGCTTGTTGTAGGTGCCCACGGGAAAATGTTCTTTTCGCAGAAACACCACCACCGTATCTCCCTCTTCAAACACCTTCTTTCTCCTGTGTCGATTAGCATCAGCCTTATATTTAGCATTAGACTGCTTTATCTTCTCCTTTACTTCTTGTTGGATAGACCGTATCTTTTCAACCATATGATCTGCAAGAACACTCTGTCCGGGAAGCTTAGGCGGTGGAGCAAGGTTAAAATAATGATTCGGAAGCCTTCCATACACAATCACAAAGGGAACCTTGCCTGTAGTTCGATTCTCCATACAGTTATAAACAAATTCAGCACGTCCCAGAGCAAGATCCCACTGCTTCGGATGATCGCCAGAGATGGATCTAAGAAGGTTACCGAGAGTGCGATTTACTACTTCAGTTTGGTCATCCGTTTGAGGATGATAAGCAGTACTGAACTTAAGATAAATATTGAATCGCTGCCACAAAGTCCTCCAAAAGTAGGATAAGAACTTAGAATCACGACCGGATGTGATGGATTTTGGCACTCCATAAAGGCGAACTATCTCCCGAAAGAAAAGATCGGCAACGCGACTAGCATCTGCAGTCTTCTTGCATGGAATGAAGTGCGCCATCTTCGAAAACCTATCAACCACAACATAAATAGAATCCATACCTCGTTGGGTTCTAGGCAGTCCCAACACAAAGTCCATAGAGATATCATGCCATAGCGCATCAGGAACAGGTAAAGGTGTATACAATCCTGTATTCTGAGACTGTCCCTTAGCAACTTGATAAACTGAACAACACCGTACATATTTTTCTGCTCCCTTCTTCAGCTGAGGCCAGTAATATCACTCTTCAATAGAAGCAATCATCTTGTCTCGCCCCAAGTGTCCTCCTAACCCGCCAGCATGAAGGTCTCTAATTATCTGCTCTTTTAACGAACTCTGGGGTATGCATAACTGATCTCCATGAAATAAATAACCATCCTGAATATGAAAGTCTTTGACTGATTTATTCTGTTGACAGTCGTCCCAAAACATCCTTAAAGTCTTCATCCTCTGCATACAGCTCCTTTAGGTACTCAAATCCAATCACTTCTGATTACAAAGTTACTAGTAAACTAGCTCTCCGACTGAGTGTATCTGTAACCTTATTCTGCTGTCTGGATTTGTGCTTCAAAACAAAGGTGAAACGCTACAGATATGCCATCCAACGAGCATGCATACGATTGATGGTAGTCTGACTATTAAGGGACTTCAAAGTCTGATGGTCAATATTAAGCAGAAACTCCCGCGAGATCAAATAGTACTCCCAATGCTTTAAAGACTGAACTATAGCATATAACTCTAGCTCATATGTGGTCCATTTCTGCCGAGCTTCGCTGAGTTTCTCGTTGTAGAAAGCAACTGGACGTCCTTCTTGAAATAGCACACCACCAATTCCTATGATGGACGCATCACAATCAACTTCAAATACCTTTTGAAAGTATGGAAGTGCAAGCACTGGTGCGGTGGATAACTTCTCCTTGATCAGTGCAAAGCTACGATCCGCTTCTACTCCCCAATTAAACTTACCTTTTTTTTATGCATTCAGTGATAGGAGTTACTATACTGTTGAAATTTCTGACAAATCTCCTATAGAACATTGCTAGGTCATGAAAACTACGAACCTCACTGACAGACTTTGGTGTAGGCCAATCTCGAATAGCACGCATCTTCTCTTCATCAATATGGATGCCCTCTACACTAACGATAAAGCCTAGAAATACAAGGTTATTGGTCATAAAGTTGTACTTCTTCAGATTGATGTACAACTTGTTCTCCTGTAAAACTGCTAGTACCTTCCTCAAGCGGTCCAGATGTGCAGTCTTGCTCTGATTATAAATCAGGATATCATTGAAGTAAACTACAACGAACTTGCCGATAAAGGGTTTTAATACCTGATTCATCAAACGCATGAAAGTGCTAGGAGCATTAGAAAGGCCAAAAGGCATGACTAACCATTCATACATGCCTTCTTTTGTCTTGAAAGCAGTCTTCTACTCTCTCATTCTCTAATCCGAATCTGATGATATCCACTCTTGAGATCTATCTTGGAGAACACTTTTGATCCAGATAACATATTTAACATGTCTTCCAGCCATAGGATAGGAAATCGATACTTCATGGTGATCTTATTGATAGCCCTACTGTCCACACACATGCGCCACTCTTTGTTCTTCTTCGAAACTAGTAACGCTGGCACGGCACACGGACTCATGCTAGGTCGTATAAGGCCTTTCTGGACGAGGTCATCCACCTGCTTCTACAAAATCTCTCCTTTGGGCTCATCCGATAGTGTGGTAAATTTGGTAGCCGAGATCCCGGAATGAGGTCAATCTGATGTTGAACATCTCGAAACATTGGTAATTCAGAAGGAAGATCATCGGGGATAACTGCATCGAATTGCTGCAAGAGGGTCTGTACTTTAGGTGAAATTTTAGCGGTGGCAGAATCATCTTTTTTCGAGACAATAAGAGCATAAACCTCATCGGATTGTTTCACATCTTTCATAAAGTATTCATTGTCAACGACCAAAAACATCTTCTTTCCGCAACATTGGTTTTAACAGGCCCCTTCTCGGTTAGAGGCTTGAACACAATTCGTCGACCATCCTTCTTAAAGATATAAACGTTATCCTTCCCTCTATGCGTAGCATCAACATCAAACTGCCATGGCCTGCCTAGCAGCATATGACAAGTATCCATCTCAACTACATCGCACAATGCCTCATCAACATAAGTTCGGCCAATGAAAAAAGATACCCGACACACCTCATCACCCTGCACGTTATTACCCTTACGAATCCAACCGATCTTGTAGGGAGTAGGGTGCTTCTCCGTCTTCAAACCTAATTTCTCCACAATGTGTCGAGACTCGAGAGACAATATTCTCACTGTTCCCACTATCAATGATGACATCACAGATCTTCTATTTCACTACGCATCTTGTGCGGAAGATGTTATGCCTCTGTGGTGGTTCTTCTGTCTTTGGGGCTAATAATAGTCGTCGCACAACACATGAAAGTTGTTCCCCATCATCATCAGGATCCAATCCACCATCATAACCTTCAAAATCGTCTTGGTCTACGTCTTCGTCTTCGTGATCTGTCATATTCACAACACCTCTTTTAGGGTACTGATTGGATCGATGACCAGACTGTCCACATCTATAGCACTTAATCGGGTCAGGCTTGACATATGGGTTCGGTGGTGTAGTCTTCTTTGCTGTTGTTGATGTATCCTTTGCCTTCTCTATTGTAGTATCTTGATCAGAAACAGTTTGAGACTGTTTATTCCTACCACGATTAAAGCTCGTGCGCGGTCTTTTGGAAGCTTCCCATGATCATTTACTATTTCGTCTGAGTTGTCGCTCTACCTTCTCGGCTAGGCTATGTCTGCTAAGGTATAGGTCTGCTGCAAAGATACACGATCCTGAATCGCCATCCTCAATCCCTCCGTATATCTGGACATCTGTTGTGCCTCGCTCTCGTTTAAGTTGTTGTAGGATGACAGTCGATAGAACTTCTGCGTGTACTCATCCATAGTTCTACCACCTTGCTTATAATTCTGGTATTGTTCAAATAAAACTTATTCATAATCACTTGGCAAGAAACGGGCCCTCAGTAGTTTTTTCATATTTTCTTACCTTTCGACCTTCGGCTTTTCTTGACGAGATTGATTCAGACAAACAGATTCCCACCAAGCTGAAGCTCCACCTTTGAGTCGGTAGGCCACCAATTTTACCTTACGCTCTTCTGGGATCTTCATATACTCAAAGAATCTCTTTACTTCTGCAATCCAGTCGAGGAATTCTTCGATATGAAGTTGCCCGTTGAAAGATGGTAGATCCATCTTCATCTTGAAACCTCCAGCGTCATAATTTTCCCTTCGTCGACGGTCTCTATGATAAACACCGCGACGTGGGGTTGTATAGTTATCTTCCTCGCTGTCAGATTCATCATATGGAGTCGGTGGAGTCGGATCACGTCGTTGGCGACCATCAACGCGATTTTGAACTCCCGTCATGTTCAGACGCTCAACTACTGCCTCAAGCCGCTCTATGACAGTGTTTATCTGATTAACATCGACCTTTAGCACGTCGAACACAGTTCGAGAAATAGGAGCTTCATCACCTGTCATTTGATCAGAAGAACAAGACTCTGATACCAATTGACGCAGCGCGGAAGTAGTAGCCTCGGAATCCACCAAGGACAATCTTCGAATCCACGAAGTAAATATTGAAGAAAACAAAATTTTATTAATTAAAAGTTATGCCTCTAGGGCTTACAAGACTCTACTTAAATAAAAAAAATAAGACTTTTACAAGGACTCAAAACTCCTATAAGGACTCAAACTTTACCAAAAACAGTAAAAGAATTCCTAAAATATTAAAACTCCTAAAAAAACTTCTTATGACTAGGAAAGTCCACCGGTCAAATCGGATTTGTGTCCTAATCAATACAGACTCCTAAAACATTACTAAAAATAGTAAAAATCGGACAAAAATACAGATATCTCTCAAACCGTAAGGAATTTTGCGAAACGAAGGAAGCAACCCGAATCCTTAGGGTGGGTTAGGTTAGCTTCGTATCGTCGAGATAGTCGATTTTCATATATAATTCATCCAATTCCGACGTACGGTTTGAAAGTTATGACCGTTTCTTCGTAGCAAATTATTTTCCTCGACCGAGCCGGTGTTTGGGCTTGCGACTGTCCCACTTTGACATAAACATATATGTCGTGTGTTCTACATCAAATTCTCTCTCCTACTTTATTTCCATGGTGGGAATTGTGCCACATAAGAGTCAAGGAGGGAAATCCCCTCCTTGATCAAATATTGAATTAAAATACCTATAACATTTGCATGTTTCTTTCTATTCTAGTTAAATCAAACTAAGAATAAGGTTTAACAATAAATTTTTAATTTTAACCGCATGGGATAATATGATGGGCATTTTTCAAATATTTAAGTAATGGGTTTCAGTTATCGGGTTTTGAATCCAATATTACCAAAGAAACTAGTTTAGGGTATAATCAATAGGGAAATCAAGTTTTTCTTTGAACCACATACGTCCATGGTGTGTCCACGGAGATTCTGTGTCCGACACATGGATGTCCAGAATGTTGTGTTCGAGTAACCTAGCACTACACAAAGGGGGGAAATCCTCACCTCCAAACAAAACACTGACAAAGTTGTTCGGATCTCTTCTTTTTCTATTGTATTGGCCTTAAATGGATGGTAGAACAAAGTCTCTTACAAACCAGATGGAAAGACAGAATGGCATACATAAAAAAAATCATGACCATACCAAGCCAATCAAAAGCAATAGCGTGATAATCTTCACAAAGAACAGGAAGGACTTTGCGAAATGAATATGCCTGTTATCAAAGATCCAAAAGGAAAAATAGTTCAGCTGGCAGATCTTGCTTCCTATCAGATTGAAAAACATAAGAAAACATAGGAAATATGAAAGCAGCTTTATGTTAGTATCATATTTAGATAAATGCATTAATTGCAACCTCAGAAATTAAGCAAATAGCCACTAGAATAGGAAATGATAGTACCTAGCACGATAGGATGCTGGTATTGTTAGATGGTGCTGGGAAACGTTCATGACCAGCAAAAAAATAAAAAAAAATCCTTGACATGGCAATTGCATCTGCTTATCATGGCATACTTAATAGATTGTGGCACCTATACGCTATATGACATATCTATTAAAGAAATGTAATGTAATGAAATCAAGCATTTTCATCATGATGCAGAAAAATTTCTCCCATCTTGCCATACAGCAACACATTTTAGTGGATGTTAAAATTCATGCTGACTATACAATAAGAATATAAGATATGAATGTGCTTTAATTATTAACTTTAGATAAGGGCATAACTAAAAGAGCAAACATAGAGAAAATAAGAAGAAATAACAGGAATACATGATAAACACTCATATTCAGATATGAGAGAGCAAAGGAAACTGTTTGATATTGGATTTGCTTTCTAATGCATTCAGGAAGATCTTCAGTTATGTTTAGGATCAACCTGGACCCATCAGATGGGACTTCTTTTTTATACACTTCACACTCATGTTAAAATACAATACAACCTGATTTGCTACAGCACATTGGGTGACTAAGTAGCCAATTTAATCCTTACAAAGACATTGTTCTCTATCAACTCAATCTATCATACTTATTCTCTAGGTGACCTGCGAAATCTGTTCTAAACCCTAAAAGAGAAAATGGATGAATATAGTAAGAATCTATCTCTACTTATTAAATTGACAAATTTAAAATCTGTCTTGAATGGCACTGAACTTGGCATGCTCAGGGAAGGGGTCTATGTAACTTCAATATGGGAGAAAAAGAAACAAAATAAAACTTGTGCACACTATTTATTGTCTTATATAAGAACCAACTTGGAATCATCCCAAGCAAAGCACAATTGATGATTCATGAAATCTAGACATAGGATAGCATTATGTTGATATTATCAGACTATTTCTCCTTTACCTACAGTATACTATTAACCAGCATTATGTAACATGATATTGTTAGTTACTTCATGATCCTCTAATACTGGTGGTCTCTATTTGATCCATTCTGAATCATTGAAAGGCACTCAAATACTGGTAGTATCTATTTGAACCATTCTGAATATTGAAAGGCAAAATAGAAATGGTACATGCTTCTCATAGAACAGAATCCATAACAGCAAAGATATAAACCGTTTGCTGTTTTAAGAAACAAACGCTAAAACCATTCATATTTCTACTATATAGGAGGTTGTTACAAGTTCAATAATGATCCTTACCTGAGATGGAAAACCATGAATTAGTATGACTGAATGATTAGAGGAGTTTCCAGATTCGACACAAAACCATCTACAAACACAAGCATAACATTTGTATGAGATATTCTAACAATGCACGGCAGGTTTCACTAACTTATTCTAACATGGGCCCTATGGCATGTTGGTTTTCCTGATTACAACTCCAAACTAGCTGATAGTCTGCTTACCACTCAGAATGCTGATTCACCTGAAAACATCATCTGCAGATTGCGAGCCAGCTCCCATGGTAAGACCAAAAATTGGATCCTTTGCCCTCCCTTTGCCGCCGTAGACAGGATAAGCTTTTATCTAGTATAATAAGAAAGTTAACAGTGCTAAAATAAGATTTGAAACTAGATTCTCTAAGAAGCAATCAAATATCAGCAGACAATTATTGATAAGACACATGTGCATGCATCAGGATATATGAGGATATAACGAGGAATATAACTACAAGCACAGTTAGAGCCCTAGATTTCTGCTAACAGGCTTAATCTCATTCTTTTCTGTGGAAGAACAATCTAAACCCATAACACTTCAAATCTTGCAACTACCCAGCCTTGTACAACCTTCTTCATCTTCACAACCTTTAGATAGCATACCTTATTCCTACCAGGTTGTTACAATAAGTTGGCAACTCCCTTCAACCCCACTTCAACTTATTGGGCAAATAATGCTATTAAAAAATAGCAGAAAGGGAAAAAAAATCTCTTCCTTATGTTTCATGCATAGTATCAACAGTTGTTCCTTATGACATACAGATGCTCACCTACTGCATACTAATCTACTATACTTCAATTACTAGATTTTGATCTAGTTAAATCAATTGATCATTCTAATATACCTGAGGTAAAGGATATATATCATGAAAATTTAACCCAGGAAAACAATGGACAACGTTTTCCAAGGTGAGAACCTCTTTCTCCCGGAATTTTACCACATAGTGATAATGTTTCGTGATATTAATGTTTTCTAAAATTAAATTTCTTTGGAGAAAAGATGTACGAATAGCATGCTCTTCTTGGACTTTGTTATTTGACCAGTGGGCCTCTAGAATTAATAAGTTAACTTCTTATTATCATTTCAACATGATCAATGGCTTAAATACACTGAAATAAAACCATAACAAATTATGTTCTTTCAAGTAATTATTTATTTTTCAGTAATAGCGTGAGTTAGCGATGCAGTAGAATACCATTTTTCCTTTAGCAAACCATTCATCGGATGGACTCTTCCCATCAGAATACTTCCCTGTTCCAATTTCAAATATTTCATCGCCTAAAACCTCAAATTTCCTTAATTTATAGCAAAAAACAAAGAAGCATCCCGAACCTCCACTGAAGGAGAATCCATCGCCGATCGAAACCGGTGCATCGATCAAATACTCCTGGAAACTCCAGTCCATGAGTAAAACAACCAGTTTTCTCTCCAACTCGATCGATTAGGGTTTAGGGTTTACCTCTTCGCCGTCGACGCTCGATCGGCACTTGAACCTGAAGCTCTGTCGCCGGGACCGGGCCAATCGGTAAGGGGAGAAGGCGGTGGCGATGCTAACCTGCGCCGACATCGAGGGGGAATGGATTTGGGTCTGGAGCAGGGTTGCATGGCTGAGGTTAGGGTTAGGGTTTGTTTTTGTTTTCTCGATTGAAAGCAGGATAGGGTTTCTTCGGTTCTCGCTCGTCTAGGACTTTTTGAATGGCGTTTTTTCTCCCGGGAACTTGTTTGTTTCATTTTTGGGTAATAAACGACAAACTACACTAAACCCCCCAAAAAACTTTCCGCATTTTGTGGTAGGCTTCCAATAACTTTTAAAATCGCACCATACACCAATAACTATTGGAATTGCAGAAAATCCCCCAATAATTTCCCATATTTTGCAGATACCCCCTTGATGGCACTAATATATCCACATTTAGGATATAAAATTTAATGCCAAAGTAAAATGCGGACTTAAGCCATCATGGGGATTATTTGGTAAAATGCGAAAACTTATTGAGAGCTTATGCAATTCTAATAGTTATTGGGGTTTAGTATGATTTTATAAGTTTTTGAGGGGCTATCTAAAAATGCTAAAAGTTTGAGGGTTTAGTACAATTTACCTTTTATTTTTTATAACCTAACACGGAATCGAATCTAAGATCGTTGGAGCCATGTTGGAAGCTCTCAACCGTTCAGATCACCCGCTGTGAATAATTTAACTTTTATTTTATTTTCATATGGGGAAACTTAGATGGGATGTGAGTTAATCCCAGAACCCAAATTATTTTTTCTAGCCGGAAAAAAAGACCTAATGGAATAAATATCTACATGTAGTTATATCTTAAGATAAATAATCTCAATGAATGAGTTAGCTATGAATAATATCAACTACTATATTATAATATAAATAAGGAAAATTTGTTTTAAGGCCCCAAAATTGAAAAAACAATGTGCAACAGCCCCATGTACTTTTAATGTTTGGTATAAACCCAAGATACACTCCAAAACTTCATTTCAGGCCCTCCAGCTCACTCAATCCTCAGAATCCCGAATCTACCCTTCCCGCCCACTCTGCTACAGCCTCCGTACGTTGGTAACGGTGCCGCCCACTCCGCTACTATCGAGGCGCTCTCTCTCTCTCTCCTCTCTCCCTCCCGCACTCTGTCTCTGGCTTTCTCTCCGGCGAAAAACCAAAATCCGCTTCTAGGGTTAGGTCGAAACCAGATCGCAGATGGAGAAAAAATCGGCGAACGAATTCGAAGTTGTTCACCATCCTCCGCCGCCGCTGCAACGTCAGGAACATGCACCAATGAACGACGAGCGAGAAGACTCGCCGTCGCCTTCCAAGACCGACGAAGATCCTCCCTCGCCTTCCAAGACCGACGAAGACCCCCTTTTGCCATCTGAGACCGACCGTGGCACCGATTCTCTCACATCCTCCCCTGCCTCCAAGTCGTCGTCCACCCATGCGTCATCATCAGGGAATGGCAGCACCGATGAAGCCACCCAAACGTTGTTGAGTTTCCAGATGGGTGTAAGGAGAAAAAGAAAAATTACAAGTTCACTAAACGCACCACAGAAATCCATAAAGAAGTAAGATAATGTTATATGTTATATTTTCCAATTTACATAGATGTTAAGGGATTGAAGTTGAATTGTGAACTATATGCCTGGACATTGGTTGAAGGACATGTTAGCTGATACCTTAATGTTAAATGTGAACTATATACCTCTTATTAATGTTAAGTTTGGCTGTTGTTTGTTAAGGTTTATAGCGTAACTGTTACAGTTCATTGTTGCATGTTAACTATTGGATGTTGGATGTCAAGTGTTGTTGATGTTAAATGTTTAATTATAATACAAGAAAAAGTCAGGTGCTGCTAAAATTAGACCAACTGCTAGTTTCACCACATATTGTAAATTTATGAAAGTCCTCGAACCGAGAATGCGGCAGTGTCATTGGGATGCATACCAAGGGTGTACATTCCAGCATTATGTAAAGTTTGCCCCCCCAGCAGTAGATCGACCCACGCTGGAACTTGTATTGAGACACTATAAGGGTAATGAAGTGGCGTTTTCTCTGCCCGATGCCGAAAGTGGGAGAGAAAAGGTTGTTAATTTTGATATGGACTGGGTGCATGAACATACAGGTTTCCCAATTGATGGGGAAATAATTTACAATAATAGAGATCCTTTCCCTAAGCTTTGGGTGGAGTATTTTGATGAACATTTTACTAGAACCACAAAGAAATCAACAAAGAATATGCGGTGATATGTGGAAGAGCTACTGCAATCTCTTGTTGAATCAAGAAAGAAGAAGGATATTGAAGATTTTGTGTTACTGCAGATACTTCATCAATGTTCAATGATGTGGTGCCCTAGTAGTGTCCAAGGCATCCCAAGGCTCTTGTTCAAATATGTTGATTCAATTGAAAGAGTGAGGAATGTGGCCTGGGGGAAATACATCTATGATCAGACGAAGAAAGGAATTAAGATAGCCAGGGAAGGTCTGCACAGGTCAGGAATAAGCTATGTACCTGGATGCATGCCTTTGATCCCTGTAAGTTGGATTAACCTGTGCATGTGAACGCTTGCTTGTATTCTGTCAACTTACGTCAAGAAACCATTAAGCCTTACTGGTTCATGTTAACTATTCTAAGGATCTTGTTAACTATATTTCGGTTCATGTTAACTTTAGTGTTTCCAGTATTAAAGTTGGTGTTGTCAGTGTTAACTATATTGCAAGATGAGTTCTGTTAACTATATTCATGTTTAAAAGATTAGTATTGCATACTAACATGTATTAATTGTTTGCAGCTATGGTACTATGAAATGACTGGGATTAAAAGATATGCCATGAGCAACAGATTCAAACCACCCCTCACTAACTGGGTGAAGATTGGTGAGAAGTATGGATCTTTTAGAAAGCGCACAATAGTTGCCAAGGCTGCAAAAGCTAGCATCCAGGTTGTACATAAACCAATAGCTGAAATTGACCCATCCGATGAGAAATATCTAATCAGAAGGCCATTGATGAGGCTTAGAAGGGAAGGGATTGTACAACAATTTCCAGTCGTACATAGGGAGGAGAAGAAAGCAGCAGTAAGGAAGAGGAAGATTGAAGAAGAAAAGAATGTTGAAAAGAAGGAAGAAGAGAAGGAACATGAGAAGAGATGGTCAATAGGTTTGGTAAGTTCTAAGGTGCTAAATATTATCACAAGAATACATAACATGTTAGCAACAATAGATAACATGTTTTCTACAACAGTTAACATGTTACCAACAATAGATAACATGTTTTCTACAAGTGTTAACATGTATGCACAAGAGTTAACATGTTAGCAACAAGAGTTAACATGTTTTCTACAAGAGTTAACATGTTCTCAACAAGAGTTAACATATTATCACAAGAGTTAACATGTTAGCTACAAGAGTTAACATGTTACCAGAGAGAGTTAACATGTTAGCAGCAAGAGTTAACATGTTACCTATAGATGATTGAAGAACCTTTAATTATCTGTGTCAATTGTGGACCACTTACTATTAACCTTTATAAACTTGATTTTAACTCTTTGTTATTTCTAAATTATAGATAATGTCAAAAGCCATTGATGAGGCTTTCGAAAGGGAAGATGAGATTGAAACGTTACCGGTTGAGGAGCAACTGCAATTTTGGAGAAATGCTGCTAAAGTAAACCAGAGACTTTGCCGTACACTGAGGGTCTCGAAGAAATTGTATTGTCAAACTTTCATGGACGAGATTCGTAGACTTAACGAAAAGGTTAAGGGGTTGGACGAATCTTGTGACATAGTAGATCCCTTGATTTTAAAGAACAATGTGAAGAAGCTTATTGCACAGCAGCTGAAAGGAAACCCTACAGTGGAAGAAGAAGAAGAGGACAAGCATGAAATCGATGGAGAGGACAACTATGGAGAGAGAGACGACGTCACCATGAATGAAGGTATCGAGGAAATGGGCAAGAACGAAGAGAGAGACGAAGTGATCAAGGATGAGGAGGACAAGCAGATGGTTGAGGATGAAGAGGGCTCGAATGGAGAGAGAGACGATGTTACCAAGAATAAAGTTGTCGAGGAAATGGGCAAGAGCGAAGAGAGAGACGAGGTGATCAAGGATGAGGAGGATAAGCAGATGGTGCAGGAGGAGGAAGGTGTGGTTGAGAAAGTTCCACTCAGCGAAGGATTGAAGAGGTCGAGGAAGCCGGTGAGCAAAAATATGTGGGTTATAGGAGTAGAGCTCCAAGCAAAAGAGCAACCAAGAAAGATAAACTGGTTAGGACACCATTTACTGAGGATAAGAAACCGAGGGCTAAGGGATTGAAGTTGAAAGAAGGTGAGCACAAAGATGAACCCATTGTTGTTGGTGACACCCCAAAGAAAATAACAGTTTACCATGACGACAGTGTTGGCAAGTGGGATGTGCTAAAAAGCACGTATTTAACAGATGTGGATCGTGCTACCTTAAAAGAGGTGAATGAGGGTATCCCTGATGTAGGCACGTTTAGCTTATGAGTGTTAGATAGCGCTGGGGCTTTTGTACATAACTACAGAATACCAAAAAATGTTGCAGAGAAACTCTCAGCTGAGGAGAACAAATGGCTCGAGCAGTACTGCAAGGAGAAATGTAGCCCGTAAGTGCTGATTTCAAAATGTAAAGCTTTCACGTTTAAATTTAAGCAACAAGGGTTAACATGTTAACAACGAGTGTTAACATGTTAACAACAAGAGTTAACATGTTAGCAACAATAGTTAACATGTTATCCACAAGACTTAACAGGTTAGCGACAAGAGTTAACATGTTATACACAAGACTTAACAAGTTAGCAACGAGAGTTAACATGTTATCCACAAGAGTTAACA